CTACGGCTACTGCTACTGCTACTGCGACTGCGACTGCTACTGCTACGGCTACGGCTACTGCTACTGCTACTGCTACTGCTACTGGGTTCTTGTTGGTGTATTTAAACTAAGTTACTATAGTAAGCAAACAAGCAAACCGAATCATTTACCATAGATCCCTATTATGGTAACTTAAATTCAGTCCTTAACAATAACACAGCCTACTACTACCGGTCCGATCCTCCACGGTCCAAAGCAAATAGCACGGTTTAAACCCTCATCCCTCAAACCCTAAAAAACCCCCAACCCCCTAAACCTCTAAACCCCCAAAACCCCATCGACCCCTAAACCCTATAGACCCTTAAACCCTATCGACCCCTAAACCCCTAAACCCCCTAAGCCCCTAATTAAACCCGAAAGACCCTAAACCCCTAAGCCCTCTCTAGACCCCTACGACCCCTCGACTCCTAAACCCTAAAGACCCCTAAACCCTATAGGCCCCCTCAACTCCAAAGGCCCTAATATAGGGGCCTCAATAGTTGCCTATACTATTTTGGTGACTCCTTATTTTAATTATAGTGTAGTATACCCCACAACCCTATTCTAAATATTGAGGCCCCTTCTTACAGAACCCCTTAGAGTAACTTTTATAGGACCCCTTCAAAGGAACCCTATTCTGATTATTAAGGCCCCTACATTATCGGATCGGAACCCCGAATCTAAGGTTGAACCCATGGGCCCCTAGTATGGGCCCTTAACCCTGGGATCCTTATACACCTACTATATACCGTATATGTACCCTTAAGAGTCCCTAGAAAGGAATAAAGGTCCATATTAGGGGCCCTAAACCCTAAACCCGAAACCTTAAACCCTAAACCCTTTGCCCTAAATCCTAGACCCTAAACCCTATAAACCCTAAACCTTAAACCCTAAACCCTAAACCCTAAACCCTATCGGAAGCCCCGAAGTTGACGCCCAGCTGCTGCTTCGCCAGGGCTGTGCTGCCAGCCGAATCGGAGCTCCGAGCGCCGGATGCCTGAAATGGCTTATACGGTTTAGGGTTTAGGGTTTAGGTTTAGGGTTTAGGGTTTAGGGTTTAGAGTTTAGGGTTTAGGGTTTAGGGCTTTGGGTTTAGAGTTTAGAGTTTGGAGTTTGGGGTTTAGGGTTTAGAGTTTAGGACTTAGGGTTTAGGAGTTAGGGTTTAGGGCTCAGGGTTTAGAGTTTAGAGTTAGTTTAGGGTTTAGAGTTTAGGGTTTAGAGTTCGTTGCTGTTGTGTGACAGCTCCTTTGCACCGTGGCTCCTGCAGTCTAACCCACCGCCGTGGTCTAGGTTTTAGAACTCTTAGGGGTTATACGGTATAGGGCTTAGGGCATAATATAGAGTTTAGGGATGATAAGGTACCCCGAAACCCAAACCCTGCACATCAAAAGGCCCCTACAACATCCTGAAAGGCGATGCAAAACTGCACAAAACCCAGAAGTCTTCAGACAAAAACCTAAATCCCCAAAGACCGAACCCTCCTAACCCTGAACCCCAGACCCTCCTAACCCTAAACCCTCAACCCTAAACCCCAAACCCTCCTAAACCCCAAACCCTAAAACCTAAACCCTCAACCCTAAACCCTCCTAAACCCCAAAACCTCAACCCTCAACCCTCCACCACTGCCGGGAAGGGACGTTCATGTTGGCCCAACCCATGAGATCCTCCGAAGAGCTCGCGGCCTGTGCATTGCAGAAGTTGCGTGAGGGGTTTAGGGTTTGGGGTGTTTAGGGTTTAGGGTTTAGGGTTTTAGGGCTTTAGGGTTTTAGGGTTTAGGGCTCCAGGGCTTGAGGGTTTTAGGGTTTAGGGATTTAGGGTTTTCGGTTTAGGCTTTTAGGGTTTAGGGTGTGGGGGGTTTAGGGTTAGTGTTCAGTGTTTAGGGCTGACGAGGTTTGATCAGGGCTTAAGGTTGCTGTAATGGAGCTGCATAGGGTTTAGGGTTTATAGGGTTTAGGGTTTAGGGTTTTGTTGATGGCTTTCTGGGCTTTGTTGTTGGTAGAGTACCAGTATAGAACTGGTAGTAGGGCAGTAAATAGCGAATATTCTGCAATGGTAATCACATAAAATGGGTTTTATACGGTCAGGGGTCAGGGCATAGGATTTCGGGGCGATAGAAAAACAAGGGGCCTCAAATAATGGAACGGGGTTTTGAGGTAGACAGTGCATCGTCGCAATATAAATGGCAGCGGTAATTATAGTATCCTAAACCCTAAACCCTAAACCCTAAACCCTTATTAAAGCCACGGTTGTAAGGTTGAGGGCTTCAAGGTTTTGGGGTGTGGGGACTAGCACTTCGGAGACAGGGGGCTTTGGGCCTCAGAGTGTCGCTGATGGCTTACATTCGGGTTGAGGGTTTAGGGTTTAGGGTTTAGGGTTTTATGGATCTGGATGGCTTGGAGTGTTCTGTGGTGCAGGGCTGCTAGTGGTTGACGTTGGGGCTTGAACGTACACCGGCCGCATGGTGTCCGGGCTTCCATACTTCTCAGCATTTCTCAGCCCAACATAAATGCCTCTCGTCAGCGCAAAAAACATAAAGCAAGGGTAATCATAGCATTTTAAGCCCTAAACCCTACATCCTCTACCCAAAGCAGGAAGAGTCCGTCCTCAGATCCCTTGTCACCAAGATCTTGGGCTGGAACCCTGAAGGCACATTAGAGCCTAGCCTTCGTGATCGAGGACACAGAAGGTGGGGTATAAGGCAGTGATAGGCCTTCGTAGGGTTTTGGGTTTAGAGATCAGGCAACGGCAGTTTTCTGGCATCGGTGACTCCATAGAGTGCAACTGCTCGCTTGCGCGCCCCCCCCCCCGTCCTCGGACCAGTCATCCGACTCGAACTCCTGATCCAACAGGTCCTTGCTGCCGTAGGATCGCTCGATTTCGGCCTGGCCGTCAACAAGTTTTGGAACCTTCGCACTTCGACTGGGGATTTCGAGTCGAGTGATTTAAACTTTATACGACCGTGGTCTGAGTGACTCTCCGGCTATGTTCAGGCCAGGCTCACTCAAGTGAACCTTGGCAAATACCGGCTTAACGACGACGAGTGGCCATGTCTGGGCACATCCTTGAAACGGGATCCAGCCGCAACAAAAAAAACAGGGCTGGAACTGGAACCCTGAGCCCTAAACCCTAAAAACCCTAAACCCTAAACCGTAAGTTGAAACCCTTAACCCTAAACCCTAAAAGCCCTAAACCCTAAACCCTAAGTTGAAACCCTGAACCCTACCCCTTTTGGGGCTCCTTTTATAAGGCTGCCGTACTATATTGGGGACCCAAAAAGGGACCCTAATTTAGAAACTGAGGTGCAGAGGATCCCCCGTCTGAACACTTCTTCCGCAGACCGTAAAGCCCCAACCCGGTGTAGTAGCCCTTCAAGAGCATCTTGGAGACAAGACAAAACACATCTTGCGGATCCTGACCTCATGAAAACATGAACTTCCAAGGCAATGAGCCCTGTAGCTTCTTACACCCTACACCCTAAGATCTCTAATTACCCCGAAACAACACCAGAAACGCAAACACAAGTCAACGATCTTTGGTGTTTCGAGCTGTTTCAGGCTCTTTTGGGTTTCAGGGCTTAGAACACACGTAACATCAACATTTGGAGTAGTGCACTCCCAGGGTCCCCCGAATTGAGCTTGAGGGAGGTTTAGGGGTTTAGGGAATTTGGGGATTTAGGGTTTAGGGGTTTAGGGGTTTGGGTTTTAGAGGTTTAGGGTTTAGGNNGAGGTTTAGAGGTTCAGAGGTTTAGATGTTGAGGGCTTCGGGCTGGCTGAGCGCTCCGATGCCTCCACTCCCTCCAGGGTCGCCGCGTTGCCCAGGTGACGGACGGCCAGAGCCTGGTCGCTGTTTCGAAATATAATGTAAGAATAATAATAACAATAACAATTATATTAATAGTAATAATAGTATAATAATATAAATATAAATAAATAAATA